TAGAGTACTGTGGGAAAATTGCTACGATTCAAGAACATTTCCTGTTGAAGTCTGCACCAATGTAGGGAGAAAGATTTGATGTGGCTAACTCATGCCTCACCTGAGCGAATGTTTTTTCAGTTTTTTTGAAATGACGTGGGAAACTCATTGAGATTTTTAGCGTCTTATTTTTCCCTAAGATTTACAGGATTAATTCTTTTGAAAGGATTTTTTGATGATTTATTTGAGAAAGTGGTTGCATTCAAATGATAGGCTAGATATTTGATCTCAAATATTTTTTTCTTTTTCTTTAATCTTTCACACTCAGAAAATTGTCGAAGAAGTTTCATCGTTTTACTATTGGACTAATTAGAGGTAGTGTAATGGATAGCGGCTCGGATTGAAGAATCGGAGAGTCGAGTTCGAATCCAGTTAAATTCATTACATTCACTTACGGGCTAATATGTTTAGGAAAGTTATGAATCCTCTTCTTTTCTTCAGCTATGGTTAAATACCGGATTCTATAGCCTTGGATGGCGACTGGTCTACCGCTGAAACAAATTGCAACCTACTGCGAGAAAACATCTGCTCGTCAATCATGTATCGAAATCACGCATGGCACATAACTGGCTAGACGGAAGTTTCATTCTAATAGTCTCTTTTCTTGCACTTCTTTCTTGTGGATTTCTATTCAAGTCTGGCTTACGATCACATCTCGTTGAAAAACCAGTTCCCGTTTGCTTAACCGAAGTTAAGTAGCGTCGAGTCTGGTCAGTATCGGGACGGATGGTCGCTTAGGAATACCAGGTGCGTTAAGCTTAGATGTCCGGGTGGTGGAATAGATAATAGATCTGAATTGTAATTGTAGATCCAAGTTCGAATTCCAGTTGCATTCGTTTTATTCATTTACGCGCAAATACACTTTGGAAAGGTGAGTTCATATATTTACCCACCAGGTATGAGTTAATTAGTAAGACTTGTATCAATTAAACCATTATTATCTCAAGAAATAAAATTGCGTACAAAAGTATTTACATTTCGGCATTAAAAAACCCCATCGTGGTTGATATCTCACTAAGCAAAATCAACCAATTAATTTCTTAGATGTTCTATCTTTCCTACCATCTAAGGTCTTAGACAAATCAAATGCAACGTCAATCGCTATCTCTATTCCTGGTTGCTGCTCTTTTATTGCCCTTTTCTCCTCACTAAAGTCTTTCATAGTAACCACTTGAGACCTAGTGACTTTGTGGCCTTGCTCGGAGTGAAATTATTAAAATACAGATAAAAGCCAACTAAATGCTATAGCGCTTTTTGGAATTCCTACAAAATTAACTTTGATTCCTAATTAGTCACAGGAGTTTAGATGAATTTAAAAAGTAAATTTGAATGGTATCTTATAAATTCTCGTTATCGTTACTAACATCAATACAAAAAAAAGCGCAATAAAAATTAACCAAATTTCGTTTAATTCCTATCTGACAAGTTAAATCCTAAGCAACATTATCAGTAACTGTTATTTTTCCAAGAGAAACATTTATAGTGAAAAGCAAAGGTAACGAAATCTTGCTGACAAGAAAACCATCGGAGTTTGTTAAGAACAGACTATATGTAAGAAAGCTCTCGAGATACAACGAGAAAGAAAAATCTCGTATTAACATATGACGTAGGAAAAAGAAAATGAGACAACAATGTGTATCTGCAGAAAGATGAATACACTTTATTAATATGTTTTAAAATGAGGCCTCACTCACTCAGAGAAAACGCAAGAAAGTGAAATTGTATTGAATATAAAGAGAAACGAAATGAAAATTCACAAAGCAGATTAATAAAAGACGTATAAAAGAATAATTTACTTTCATTCATATATATATATATATATATATATGTATGTATGTATGTATGTGTGTGTGTGTGTGTGTGTGTGTGTGTGTGTGTGTGTGTGCATTAAGACTTGATCTATTTGAATTAAGACTATTCATATACATATATACAGTGTAACCCAGATATAAGAGAGTTGTCGGGACTAGAGAAGAAGTATCTTATATCCGGTTTCTTATATCCGGGTTTCTCTTATATCCGGTTTCTCTTATATCCGGGTTTGGTCTATTTTATATACATTAACACAGGCTCTAATTTGGGACCAGAGAAAATCTCTCTTATATCCGGTTTTCTCTTATATCCGGGTTACACTCTATATATATGTGTGTGTGTGTATGTATGTATATATGTGCAAAAGAATAAAAATTTCGCTAAAAAATCATGTTACTAAAATCGAGCGTTATATATATATGTGCAGTAAGACTGACTATTGTTATACACACACACATATATATGCATTAAAACTATTGATACAAAAACGTAAACACACACATACACATATACATACATATATATATATATATATATATATATATACAGATATATATATATATATATATATATATATATATATATATATATATATATATATATATATATATATGTGTGAGAGTGTGTGTGTGAGTGTGTGTGTGTGTGTGTGTCGCAATGTCTGTGCGAAAGAATAAAGAAGATTTCTTAGAATATTCTATATATCTACAATCGCTCATTATTATCCTGGGGAATAACTTTCGTTACATATAATGAAAAGTAATTGGATCGATATTTACAATGGAAGACCAATGAAAAGATCTTAGAATAGATTGTAAAAATGACCATTTCTTGTGAAAGAAGTGACTGAATTAAAAGTTACTTTATTCCCAATGGAAAACAGCAAATATACAAGAACAATAACTTTTGATTCTTTTTTATAGATCTATTTTGCATACATTTTTTAGTTTTTAATAGTCTTGTATTTAGGTAAATTGCACCATACTCTCAATTTCTTTCTCTCTCACCCTTTTTATATATATATATATATATATATATATATATATATATATATATATATATAAATAAAAAAACAGACCACTTTAAGATCCATGTAATAAAATTATTTCACCACAGCCTTTTTAAAGGACTGCGGATCATCAGACTTTACTTCCAAAGGTTGAAACAAAAAATGAAAAAGAAATTTACACATTTTTGACGGGCCGTATTAAGCATAAATTAACGAAGTGAAGAAGTGAGGGGGTGGGAGAAGACATGAGTGAGTTAGATGTAATTTAAATTTCTATTCTTTTATACTTAAAATTACTTGAGGAGGTCCAGACATTGACACGTTTAAAAATGTGTAAATTTCTTTTCATTTTTGTTCCAACCTTTGGAAATAATGTCTGATGATCCGCAGTCCTTTTAAAAGGGCTGTGGTGAAATAATTTATTACATGGAACCTTAAGGTGGTCTGTTTTTATTTAAATTATTTGCTCTGGATTTACATTGAGCTCTCTGGATTTTATCCTCCTTGGGTTTACCCATACGGATTACCTAGTTTTTCATAAACTATATATATATATATATATATATATATATATAAAGAGGCAGAATGTGTGAGATTTTTATTTATTCATTCTCTAAGGATTATCAACCCTTTGCAGCTTATGTAATGCCAGAAAATATATTTAGACTGTAAAAATTTCTGCGGAGATAATAATGGTTTAATGATACATATCTTACTAATTAACCCATAGCTGAGGGAAAGGAGTTGGGTTCATACCTTTCCCAAGTGTATTTGCGTGTAAGTGAATAGAACGAACTCAAAGGGTATTGGAGCACGTTTCTCCGATTAGCACCATTATCCGTTACACCAGGCTCCCATCCAAGCTTACAGCAACTGGTATTCCCAAGCAGTCACCCATCTTGGTATTGATGTACAAGGTACTGACGGGGCTGGTCGTTGCTTAACATCGGTGATCGTACAAAAACCAGTGTTTCAACGTGATGTAAGCTCAGGGTAAGTGAGTTTAAGTCAATCTAAAGGTAGAAATCAACAACGGTTGATTTCTATGTCCACGATATGCCATTTATTATTTACGTACACAATTTTAATTAAAATCGAATGATGATGTTATTTTTGGCAGATTTTATTGTCAAGCTAATTTTTCTTTCTAATGGCAGTTATTAGGATAATTGTGCAAAGTGTTCACAAATAATTTGTATTTCAAACAAACTCAGTTCTTTTTCCGTTCTCATATCGCAAAAAGAAGAGAATAACATCAATTTTCTATCTATTTTTTAATAACCTAAATTACTGCGAGTTAGTTTTTAAAATCGTCCTGATACATTAAAGTTTCTAGAATTGGGGATTTTAGATTATAGAAATAGAGACCTACATGCCAATCTAGTACTGAGCTTCAATATCCAATTTCGAGGTATCAAATGTGTAAAATTTAATTATTATTGATTGTTAGCTAACTCAGTGATTTCGTTCTGAGCAGATCTTTGGGATCTAACTGAAAAATCGCGCTCCTTTCAGTTTCCCGGTCAAATAAATGAACCGAATCTTCCATCTTGTTTTGCAGACGTCACACTGGCCACAGTGTGAAAGGTCAGTAGGAAAGCTTTTAAAGAGTTGAAAGTGTGCTTGTGCATATTTTAAGGTTTGAATTGATGTTATGAAGCCCAGGAAACGACTAACAATAACAATGTTTACTTCTTATTCGTTCTTCTAATTGATTTAATTTTATTATTCAAGATTAGTAGAAGGAATTGCCAGGATCAGTTTTCATCAGCCTAAAAGGATAGGTTTTGATGAAGAGAGTTGAAATCATAAAATGTATAAGATGATAAAAATCAAGTTTAAATGATAGTTTGACAAATGGCGCCATTTCTACATTTTCGTCTTTCATTTTGGATCTCAAGAAGCTTTCGTTTTTCTTTTCTCATTCTGTTATTTATGCATCTTCTTTAGCTCATTCTCCATTTCCTCGTCTTTTTCTTTTACCGCATTAGTCTTACCGTCATTTTGCAGTTTTTGTGATCGTTTTAATCAATATTTTAATCAATTTTATTGTGATCCTTGATTAGGTGATCACTTTAGTATTTTTAATTTCTTAAGATTTAGAATTCCTTCCTTTTCTCATATTCTTTCGTATTTATTTATGTCTTTCTTCTCACATTTTTTCAGTTTTTTCCTTTTTTTTTTAGTTTTGCTTTTTCTTCCTTTTTTTTTTCTTATTTCTCTTTATTATTCTTTCTTTCTTTCTTTAATGTTTCTTCTTTTTTGTGCTTTTTTACCATTCCTCTATCTTCGTTTCTTATTGTCTTCTTTTTTTCTGCATAAAGAAAGAAAATCCGGTCCGAATTGCGAAAGGTAGCATAAATCCTCTTAAGCAGACATCTTTCGCTTTCTCTACGCTAATTTTCAGCACTATCCGCTTCTTCATGCTATACTTAAGTTTCTTACCACTACAAAACTGTTTCTTTTTTTTTTGTTTTTGTATTTCCTTCACAAATTTTATTTTCCTTCTACTGATTTGTTTACGTGGGTTTCTCTTCAACAAGCCTCTTATTTTCTCGTCTTTCTTCTAAATGTCAGAATTCTACAATCTTTCTTCTTTTTTTTCATCCCTTCTGTCTTTCTATATTTCATTCTTTAGTTCTTGTCCTTTCGCTTACTTCTTCTTTCTTTCTTTCACACAGAAGGTTACTTAATCTATTCTCTGTTCGTATTTTCCTTTCTCTTCGCCGTTTTACTCCGCTATAGTTTACATTTATCTTTATTTATTACTAAAATATTACCTTCGTCGCCCACTCTTTTTCTTTTTTATAACTTTCTTTCTTCTGCATTCAATAGTCCGTTACTATTCACTCTTTCGGAATTATTTCATTCTTTCTTTAACTTTGTCGTACTTTTATTTCTTTCTTTTTCGTTGACCTAATTATTCTGTACTTTTCTATTTCTTTTATTCTTTCTTTCTCTTTCTTATTTGGCATATGTTTTCTTTCTTTCTTTCTTTCTTTCTTTCTATTCCTTTGACAGATTTTCGCTGAACTAAATGTTCTACAATTTTCTTTCTTTATTTTTTTAATTTTCCTTCCTTCTTTCTTTCTTTCTTTTCCTTTGGAATAATTTTTCTCTCTTTCTTTTCTGCTGATCTAATTATTCTTTCTTTCTTTCTTTCTCTTTGGAATAATTTTTCTTTCTTTTTCGCTGACTTAATTATTCTTTCTTTCTTTCTTTCTCTTTGGAAAAAATTTTTCTTTCTTTTTCCTATTGACTTAATTATTCTTTCTTTCTTTCTTTCTTTCTCTTTTGAAAAAAATTTTCTTTCTTTTCCGCTGACTTAATTATTCTTTCTTTCTTTCTTTCTCTTTGAAAAAAATTTTTCTTTCTTTTCCGCTGACTTAATTATTCTTTCTTTCTTTCTTTTCTTTTTTCTTTCTTTTCTTTCTTTCTTTTTTTCTTTCTTTCTTTTCTTTCTTTCTTTCCCTTTGGCATACACTTTCTTTTCCGCAGTTTTATTTCTTCATATCTTTTCCCGTTGGTTTACTTATTCAGTATATTAAGTTAGTTTCTTTCTTTCTTTCTTTCTTTCTTTCTTTCTTTCTTTTCCGTTGAAATAATTTTTCTCTCTTTCTTTTCTGCTGATCTAATTATTCTTTCTTTCTTTCTCTTTGAAATAATTTTTCTTTCTTTTCCACTGACTTAATTATTCTTTCTTTCTCTTTGGAATAATTTTTCTTTCTTTTCCGCTGACTTAATTATTCTTTCTTTCTTTCTTTCTTTCTTTCTTTCTTTCTTTCTTTCTTTCTTTTTGGAATAATTTTCTTTCTTTACCGCTGACTTAATTATTCTTTCTTTCTTTTTTCTTTCTTTCTTTCTTTCTTTCTTTTCCTTTGGAATAATTTTTCTCTCTTTCTTTTCTGCTGATCTAATTCTTCTTTCTTTCTTTCTTTCTCTTTGGAATAATTTTTCTTTCTTTTCCGCTGACTTAATTTTTCTTTCTTTCTCTTTGGAATAATTTTCTTTCTTTTTTTTTTTGACTTAATTTTTCTTTCTTTCTCTTTGGAATAATTTTTCTTTCTTTTCCGCTGACTTAATTTTTCTTTCTTTCTCTTTGGAATAATTTTTCTTTCTTTTTCGCTGACTTAATTATTCTTTCTTTCTTTCTTTCTTTCTTTCTTTCTTTCTTTCTTTCTTTCTCTTTTGAAAAATTTTTCTTTCTTTTCCGCTGACTTAATTATTCTTTCTTTCTTTCTTTCTTTCTTTCTTTCTTTCTTTCTTTCTTTCTTTCTTTCTTTCTCTTTCCCTTTGGCATACACTTTCTTTTCCGCAGTTTTATTTCTTCGTATCTTTTCCCGTTGGTTTACTCATTCAGTATATTAAGTTAGTTTCTTTCTTTCTTTCTTTCTTTCTTTCTTTCTTTCTTTCTTTCTTTCTCTTTCCCTTATTTATTAATTAGTTTCATTGTTTGTTAGCTCCCTTTCTTACGTTCATCCTCATTCTTGTTTTGCTTTGTTTTATCTCCACTCTCTCTTTGCCGCTTACCTTCCACTTTCCTTTAGTTATCCTTACTACTTCAGTTCTAATTTCCCTTCCTGCCTGCCCGTCTTGCAATTTTCCTTCCCCTCACAACAGAATCACAGCTTTAACTATATTAACCGGAACCGCGCCTTTTATTCCATATTTCGAAACACTTCTACGGAGCCAGGTCGAGACCTAACCGACGTTTCTTCACGCACGTAAATGAATAAGCAGGTGTGATTTTCAATGCCTGAATTTATGATATGTTACGTCATATTACGTTAAGTTGCCTTGCGTTGTGATGGGTTGGGCGAAGAACTGAAAGATTTGTTCGCTGATATTACTCAATGAGGTGAGCCGATAAGCACAGTGACAAAATAATGGCTTCTGCCGGTAGAAAGGAAATATAATACACAACCCAACAAATGCTTGCGCACGCGCACACGATGTGACACAGTCTGCGCAAAGTTAGTAAGAAACTAAGCGATCGTACGCATGTTTATTTTTTTCTTTTTGCTAAAAGTTCGCTTAATACAAGTCACAAGATCAACATAAGTAGACGGTTACTTAATGATGTTGTTTTATACACGTAAAAAGCAGGAGTGTATTAAATGTAATATACCTTAATTTCTCGAAAATAAAACGCATTTTTTGCTGTAAGATATATAGATGATAGCAGGGGTGAGTATTATAAATAGGTTTAAACAAAAATATTTTTCATTATTGATTTATAATAATAAATACGTACTTGTTCGAAAATAAGAAAGATATTATCCCAATTTTCATTTTCAATCTAATAATAATAATTGTAAAACTTTTTGTCAATAAATTTATGTTTATCGGTAACCGCATTTATTATTTGACGAAAAAAAAAATCTATAAAAAGGAAAATTTCGAAGGAAGGAGGATATCAAGTTAATTTATTGAAATTTTAATTTTCATCATCAATATCGCCACTTTCTATTATAGAATCAATATCTAAATTATCATTAAACAAATTATCATTCACAATATTGTCTTCGGCCTCTTCATTTTCTTGCCAATAGATGTTCTCTTCAGAGCCATCCATGGCTGTCGTGAGACACCACTTTTTGTTATATTTATCGGGAAAAACGCCTGGTAATTTTCAACATTATGTTAGCTGCTTAGTTTCGATTTTATTCTTAATGTCAAGGTCGACAAAATGACTTCGTAATTTTTTTTTGTTTTTTGTTTGGACAAAATTTATAGTTACGAATTATACATACGGATAGATATATTTCTTAATTTTTGAATCATTTGTTGGGGTGCGTATTATTTTCAAGAAATTACGGTACTTGAAACAAAATTCATAAATTTAATTTTTTATAGTTAGGTAAGGAATATTAAATAAAAATCTAGCAGACTATTATTTTTTTTAGAGAATTGTATTTTCCTCTGACTTCCTCATTTTGACCTATGAGGTCGGATACAGGAAAACAAAAGATAGGCGTTTTTGAATGGTTAAAACTAGCGTGGGAATGTTAGACATCGTAGACGTGGTTATTTCGTGTTTCGGGAAAATTGCTCCCCAGTGGGGGTGATAGAGCGACACCACTGGCTACTTAAAAATGTACACGTCGACGTGTTTAAAGAAACAGATAAGTTTAGAATCCCTTTCTTTTTTCAGGTGTTATTTTATCTCCGAACAAAACAACTGGCGATCAACGGCCGAAAAAGAAGACTTCGGCGTTATGCGTGAATTAAGACCGTCGCCCCAAGACCAACCCCGCAAAAGGGCTAAGCAACAAGTGTAAATTATGAGAATATGTCGGCTGGATAACGAGTGAGCCTAAACCTGAAGCAGTTAAGATTGTAGCGAACAGAGAAATATTGTTTTGGAAGTCTGTTCAAGGAAGTATCGGTTCTTAAGAAGAAGCTGTTTGAATTAAACTTCCTTCTTACTAACTGAATAAGAAGAGAATGTTTATGATCCGACACCGAGCACGTAGCATGGCAAATACCAACTGTAAAGGTTTTAATTAGTGGAAACATTTGCCATGTAGATAGTGATAGATTACCCATAGGTATGCAGGGTGTAGGGTTGAAAATAATCAATTTCCCACAAAGCTGCTTAAATGCTTTGAACCCTGTTGAGGTTGGAAAGTAAGGATAGATCAACTCACACTCAGATATGACAGCATTAATTCATTAATGGCATGATCTTAACCTTTTAAAGACAGAGCATAGCGGAGGAAGTCAGGTAATTTCTGGAGCTGTAAAAGGTACTTCAGCATCTTTAGCTATGTATTGTATATATGAGGTCCCCTTTTAGTCTGACGTGAACCTGAGTCCCACTAGACCTTCAAAGTAAGGAGCCTCATTTAGAGTACTACCACACATAATGATTATAGAAAATTCAGTATTTGCTTATACGTAAATATAAAACAGCGCCTACCATATTTCTCGGTGTATAACACGCATGTATAGTTTTGGGAATATTTAGAAAAAAATAATATTGATTTATTTATATTATTTAGCCGCATTGTCTTCCGTGGCAAGCGTCTTAAGTAGCCTCTGACAACTAAGTCCAGCTCTATAACGGAAAATGTGCGAATGTGTAAAAATGGTGTCTTATAACAAGCTGCTTCGCGTAGATGTAGCTAGGTAATCCAGGTTGGTAGCCGATCTTGGGGAAGGAAAACCCTGATATTAAACCTCCGCTGCCTTGCGTTCATATCCAAGCAGAAAATGCTATGGAAGTAAATCCAGACAGAAAACCTGGAGTGGAGACTCGAAGGCGTTTGTTTGTCAACACTGACAACTTTCCGGTAATTCTTGCAGCTAAGCCGTCCCCAAATGTAATACCCTGTGTTCTTTTGATTGTTGTCGCTACGGCTGAAAAGGTGAGGGTGAAGGACGGCGCAAAGTAGTCTGGGCAGCACAGGGCCTCCATATAACATCGATCAGGCCTGCGACCTGGAGAGCTCACGTCAGTTTTACCACAAAAGGACTTAATTTTCACCAAACAAGTCTCTAACTTTATATGACGATATAAACGGATGTCTACTATTTATGTTCGGAATATTCCCCTTTTTTTGTTGCTGTTCGGCCGATGTTCCCTCCGGTCTTCCTCAGCTAAATATCGAACTACAGGAAATTTTGAACTGAACCATTAACTTCATCTACGGGAGTAGACTATTCTCGTTTTACTGCCCATTTTAAACACAGTGTAACCCGGATATAAGAGACCCGGACATAAGAGAAACCCTGATATAAGAGAGATTTTCTCTGGTCCCAAATTAGAGCCTGTGTTAATGTATATATAATAGACCAAACCCGGATATAAGAGAAACCCGGATATAAGAGACTTCTCCGGTCCCGACAACTCTCTTACATCCGGGTTACACTGTATTTCATCAAGTTATTATTTTTAGCAATACTGTTCTACGAGATAATTGCCTAGTGTATTAAAGCGATGGTTTGAAAATTTGGTGCCATAATGATTGTGAGTTCAATCCCTGTATCGGCTAATGTGTATTGGACTTAGTAGAAAACGGATGGGCCTGAAATAATTGTGCAGTATAATAATAACCGACTATACAGCTGTAATGATCGAATGACTAATTTTTATTCTATCGTAAAGCTCTCAACAATCTCGTAATGTAAGCGTCGTATAAAGTTATTCTGTACAGTGAATGTTCCGCACTAGCCGAGGCTTCTCTTTTCAAATAACTCAAACTCCCGCATATCAGCCTTTGCGAATATTTATCCCTCTCTTTGTTTAGTATTTTATTTCTCATTCATACTCTCTCAATCTCTTCATCCTGATCATTTTACTGCTGCGAGAGTACACCCGTTTAAGCAAACATGGCGTATGACCAATAAAATACGCTTGACTAGCAACGAACTCAGGAGTTAGACGAGAGTCGTTAAAACTCCACAGCTTCGTTCTTGTACTGGATGAATGCGTGTAACTTTCTTTATGCTGATTGAGCATTTGTGCAGTTTCCCCAAACAAGGTCAATTGAGTTTGCATCAGGGAATATCTCGAAGGAATCACGGACTTATAGGGCGCTGAATCCCTGCTTATTTGCACTGTAAGTTAGAAAATTGTCTCTTCCTATGGTCCTGTATATTTTCATATATTCGTTTATATTCTATTCCTGTACATACGTTTCTAAAATGATTTTTGAACACTCTATGTATTCTTTGAAATTAAATCTT